AAATAGCTCTTTTTTTTTTTCTTTTTTTTTTTTTTTCAACAGCGAAAGGAGATGTAGGTCCCTTAAAGCAATCTGATTACCACTACTCATTTTCTTTATCAAGAATATTACTGCACAGCGTTAATAGGGAACCTTGTTTTGCTACTCCCCGTCTGTTCAAAACAGACCTTAGCCCATTAGAAGGTCCTCCCTTGTGTGGGAAGACCACAGCTGTTACTGTAAATCTCATCCAGTAACTGTATCACCCCCATTTTGTGGCTCTGAAGGATGAAATTGAGAAATGGAATACTGTGCAGTCATCCTTTACATCTCCAATTTTAGGCCTTTGCACATCATTTTCATGCTTTTATTCCAAATCAAACAACATTAGTGAGCAACACCACCCTGTGCTAAATGCCTAGCATCTAAGGCAGCACCTACGATCTTTGTGTTTGGAGGATTTAGGATTTGGAGGGAAGCTGGGGTTTTGTTGATGGTGGATTTTTTTTTTTTTATTTTATTCCCTCTTTTCCCTCCCTCCCCCATACTAGATCTTTCCCAATCCCCAGAATTTGTCGGAAGCAGAAATCCAGATGGTAGCAAGGTGCCTAAGAAGGAGGATGCTCAGTGCCTCCACAGAGGAGGTGAGAGCTCAGCATGGTTAACAAACACAACTTTTAAAAGGTTTCTGTTTCTTTAAATCCTTCTGAATAGAGTGGATCTAACTTCTTATGAAGGATATTGGGGGCTTTAATCAGAAATAAGAAGTGGTTTAAATCATTAGCACAACAAAGCAAACTATAAGCTTGAAGATAAAAGTCTCATTTTTCCTCTGAAAATAAATGGGACTTGATAGATTTCCATATCATTTATAACTTCCCTTAATTACACTTGGAAGACTTGCCAGTAAAACTGGAAAATTGGCAGCCTATATCCATTATAGTAATTTTGCCGACCATGGCAAGCAGCTGGCTTTACTGGATTTTATTTCCCATCACTCACAATTAATCATCAGCTGGAGATGTCTGAAACTCCTCAAAACGTAGCAATACTGTGTGACATTCAGGCCTCCTTAAAATGCTAAAATCTGCTGAGTAAATGGGCCGAGTTCCCCTTCCAGCGAACTCATTTTGGTGCGAGGCAGGCTGCCGGTTAATGAGTGCCACTTCGATAATCGGATGCGAATGTGAACCCTGACCTCATGTCAAAGGAGAGGATGCAGCAAGCTGGATAAAAGATAGGGGATTCAGATCTGCAAACTTTACACCAATTAGACAGGGAGCGGGGAAATACATCAGTGCTGATTGGGTTTATCAGAAAGACTTGTGGGGCTTGTGACCATTTCTGTAAGCCTAACATTGAAGACGTCCTGTCACAATCATTAAGTCTTTATCAGATGATGCACAAAGTCTGAGGAAAGTGTACCATAGTCACAAATATCCTGTGGTAGCAATGCCCTCGGATCTGTGCTGTCTTTTGGTGTCTCTGAGTTTTAGAGAGACCTATCTGTAAGTGCAATTAGTCTTTATGGTCCTCCTGTAGGTGCAATGAAAGCGGCTCGGGGTTGCTGCTTCTCAAATTCTGCTTCCACCCTGTGTTGTTAGCTGCACGGTCGGGAAAGGACTGGAGAGAGTTCCCTGTCCTGTGCGTAACCTTTGGCCAGAGGAGATAACAATCACCGTGCAGTCCCCTAGTTAGTCAAATAGTGCTATTCACTGTTCCCAAATTCACATCAGAATTGTTAGCAACATCGAGACTAAGTATTCTCCTCTTCAATGATTCTTTTTTTACCCTTTTTTCTCTTTCCTTTTTTTTTTCTTTTTTTTTTTTTCTTTTCACTCAGTGGAGAACAAAACTGAACAGATACTTTGAACTGCACCATATGGAAATAAACAACTAAAATACAGACTGCAGGTCTAACAGTTAATTACTTATTTATTTTGATATTCCAAGCAGTGTAAAGGTAAATTTGTCTGGAGTGTGAGTCTGTGAGAAAGATACCCGAGTTTTATTTCTTTTAAGAAAATGAGTCCTTTCATTTTACTTGGTTCCAATCAATCAGATTTTTTGTTTGATTTTATTTGCCTGTTTTGACAGATTTGGGTCATCACTGAGACCTCACAAAATTGAAATGTAAAGATGGTGGTTTACATTGGTGAAATAAATAAATTAGATTATGAAAATGCAATGTTAAAAATGGTCGAGATAAATCCTTAAGTTAGAAAGCAAGACCTTATACACATCTCTGTGGTTTTCATTTGCAGTGTAAATAACAGGCAAAAGGATATATGTAATTATGGAATGAAAGAAATTGGACAATGCCCAAAAGACTAAAAAATAGAAAAGGGAGATACAAGTGCCTAATTTTAGGATTTGTCGCTTTGCAACACAATGAGTGGAACTGTAAAGGTTTAACATAAGAACAGTAATTAAACTTCTGTGCTTAAGTGACACTTTCACCAAGGTAATTTTCAACAAATTGCACATCATCAGAAGTACTGACACAGCATTTTCACACGTGGTACCTGCTGCAAGTGCCTCCTTCCTTCCAAATTAGTAAGACTAGATGTTAACTGTGTACTTTGTCTGTATATGTTGTGGGTTGGGTGGGTTATTTCATTCCCAGACACTGCTTCCTTTGTCACCAACCCAGCAGGTATCATATAAAATACAAACCCTTTATTTTTGAGAAAGGGGCGAAACTGCAGAGAAATTCAGATTCATGAACATTTCCATGCTGCAGCCACTAGTATTTCCTGGCATTTTACAGGTGTACTTAAGATCTACAGAGACAATTCTGAACTTTTACAGTAGATGTATTTCTAGAACTCTGTTTAGGTAATGGCAAACTGGTTCATTTGCACACTGTCCACCTGATGAAGCCATGTTACACTTTGGCAAACTGAGCCACGCTGGGGCTCAAGTAGAGAATTTCTCATGCCTGTGAAATTAGGCCACTCCATTCAGATCTCTACTCCTCAGCATCTCAATCTTCCACAGCCTTTAGAGGACCATGTTCTTGGTGCTTTGATAGCTAAGTTTAACGAGAAGACGGCAAATTTGTTGCTGAAATACGCTTTTTAAAAAACCTTCAACAAACATTCTTGCCTTTTTTTTTTTTTTTCTTTAAACAGAAGTACATATTCATAGCTTCCTCTTAACCTCAGAAATGTCTGGAAAGTTCAGAACAGATAGAAGAAAAGCTGAGCAGTGAGATAGGGAGAAGAAGGGGAAAATAAGCAAGGAAAGAAAGAAAGAGCTGCTGGGATGAGGCTACAGGCAGAGCAGCAGGTGTGGAAGGAGGGAGACAAAAGACAGGGAAACGAAATAGAGGGGAAATAACTGGGGACAAAGAACAAGTCTTTGATACTATTCACTGATTTTGACACTGCTGATGACTTAAATGCTCACCCGAAGCTTGGGATGGAATTTCTGCAGGTGAAGTGTTGGGTGTTGGTTATTCTCCGTATCCGGTTAGCACACCATGTTCCCATAGCAAACGCTTTCCTTATTTACCCCGTAAAGCCCATCATATTGCTGTTGGCAGTCTGTTGGGGAAGTGGTGTGTACCTTTTAATGTAATGTCTTCTCTTCTGTCTTGCTCAGAATCCACAGGCAGACATCAGTGCTTCTCAGTCATTGCTAGTGCATGCTTTAGAAAAAAACATTTAAATTTTCAGAATGTACTTCATGCAATGTGCATTTGATCTCTGACTTCATACCTGTCTGTTAGACAGTATATTCCTCCAAAGTGGTACACACTTGTCCTGAAACGTGTGTTATTCATGTTACATGTATTTAGAGAAATATATCTATGTGCATATATGTATGTATACAAACAAACATATTTTTGAGGGTACTGGCACATATAACAATGCATAGACCAGATCTCTGCAGGTCTCAGGTTACCCTCCTTAATGAAACTTTGACATCAGAGTGAAAGCATCCCAAATTTGCTGGGATAATGAGTGATTGGCAGACTATATCTGCAAAAGAGCCTAATGAAAAGACTTGTAGTGGGTACTCAGAGCCAGCCATCCCTAAGGGGTGGACCCACGTACTGGCATGCAGGGCCTGGTGCCCTTCCCTCTCTGGCATACATTGTCTTCATGGGATGAGTGGCTGATCTCTGGGTTAAACAAGGGATAAATTATGAATCCTGTGTTTTCCCCCTCATGTACAGGACCCCCCCCCT